TATTGATGTTATTTTTATATATTAATGATATTTTAAGAATATGTTTTTAGCTAAATACCTTGACATTCTAATTAAGTTTATGTATGTATGTATGTACTTTTATTTTTTCAGATCTGACTCATTGACTCATGACTCATGACTCATGACTCATTGACTCATTTGACTCATTAATACTTTACACTCAGAACCTTCGGCTATATGCGACTCTTAGCACTACACCACGAAGGCTGATTACGCACTCTGGCGAAAACTCTTTAACTTAATGCGTTATCCATGGAACTTCCGCCAGCAAATTCCTTCAGTATGATCGAGCCGCATTAACCGAGCTATTGACGGTGAAAAAACAATGTCAACGCATTTCATGGCAACGAATGAATAAAATAACATGTGCTTTACAAAGCCGATACACCTCGTCAGCGAAGTAGGAGGCAAAACATGTGTTTTCTTTATATCTCGATTTCTGCTGTTATTTTGAAGCTAATGGTCAAAGTCACATCCATTTTCGGCCCATAGAGGTTCTTAAGAATAGCATGGCATGACATTTTCTTACTTTCAGATCACTTTCCAGCAAGCTGGAATTTTTATATCCCCCGTGATCTTTCGGAGTCAGAAGAGTAATTGCTCATTTTCTCGTCAAGTTTAACGCCTGGACGAGTCAAAGGCTCTTGAAATCCAATCCCCAAGTTAACCATCGTACTCATTTGAAAGACTCCTACGTGTCTTAAATTTGGTAAGACCTCTAACTGTGCTGTAGAAAATTTGCCATAAAGACAACTCTGAGTCTGAGCAGCGAACGCCGAACGATGCACGCTCTCAACGAAGAATTTGATCCCACCGAACTTCGGAGAGCGCGTGCTTCTTCGGAAGCGATAGATCTTCGCACTCTCGAGTTCGGACCCGATTAATTACGAAGTCCGTCTACTACGAGTGAGCGAGTGACTCATTTGCATAACTCCGTCCCTGCAATAACTCGTGGTACGCTCGCGCGTCCCCACGAGTTAAAAAACCACCAGTGGCCGAGACTCTATGCATGGGAGTCAGAGAATTTGAAATTTATAAAGTATGTAATAGTTTGCGGAGGAGACAGGTTATGAAAGATCAAAGATATAAACAACCACGTTGCAGCTTATGTTGGGTGCTCCCTGGTGGTGCACAATCCTTTGTTTTTTTTTCATAAATTGACTCTGAAGGGCATCATAAACATTGCAGTCTTTATGTAACCAACAAAATTTGTCCTTAATTTTGCCTTTTGAAAAGACTGAAATAAAAATGACTCCCTTCTTGTTTAATTTAAGTTCCTATGGTTTGTTTGCGATTGGCAAGTCTGAAGTAACACTCGAAATCTAAACGTCAGCTTCAAAATAAGCTAAAATAGCTCGAGACGCGAACAGACAGTAAGACAGTGTAAGAGTACAAACTCAAGTTAAGTCTTTTTTTCGAAAGGACGTATTTTGTTTATTGCGGATATATTCTCTTATAAAATTCAAATTCAACTACTCCGATAAAGGATGGGCTACTGGTGAGATTAACCATCGTAAGAAGGCGAGTCATCATTCGTTTTAACGATTCTCTCATTGATGAAATTACCGGCGTACGTAATTACTACTGAACAGTGAATAGCAAAGCTAATAAGATGAATTATGGTGCGTGTGCTGGGTTAAATGACCTCATCGTTGAAATGGCCAATTCTGTTATGCTGGCATAACGTTACAATTTTGCGGATACTACTTTTGCAATTGCTTGCAGGTTTTTCCTGATAATTTCATGCGTCGAGAAGTACTTACCCTGGTTGTGCACTGTTCCTTTATGGAGGATGGGTGTGCTTGGAAAGGAGAAGTGAGACACCTTGAGGTACTTAATAGACCCGCCTTCCACGGTCTTTTTTCGGCATTTAACATGGATCAGTTAGTGAAAATCCGTCGAAACCGCTGAAAAGAGAGCTAAAAAAATAGAGTAAAATGGCCAAGTTTGATTGATGAACGAAGATATGGTTCGGCGAATTTGGCACAATTTTACAGGCGTTTGTTTGGTGGGGAGCACTGACTCGCCTCCATCATACAATTGTCTGTAAAATTTAGAGAAGTTTGGGGAGTTATATCGCTAGCTTTAGACGTATTACTTTCAAACCTGCCAAATTTTACTAATTTATAGTTTAGGGCGCTCATTTCAGCGGTTTTGATTAATTGTCTTTAACCGTAAAAGTCATTTATTGCATGTCAAATAAAACTGGAACTATAAAGGGTTAGTTTATCGTTTGTCTCACGATTGTAACTTTGATATTGATCGCGACGTTTCGACCGCGCACTGCTGGTCTTCATCAGGCGATATTGCCGATTGACTGAGTCGGACTATTTTGTACCACCGTCGTTGTTAGGGATTGGTGTATCACGAACCTCACTCATGGTGGTACAAATAGTCCGACTTAGTGAATCGACACTACCGCCTGATGAAGACCTGTAGCGTGCGGTCGAAACTTGGCGATCAATATCAAAGTAGCTCAAAGTGACAATCGTGAGACAAACGATAAACTAACCCTTCGTACACATTATCCACGATGATTAATATCTTTCATGACAAAATTGGAACTGTGTGGGTAGAAATAATATGATTACGAGGGGTCAATTAACGGGTGTATGTATATTAATAAGAGAAGATTAAAAAATATGTTCTTTCATTTTTGTTGCTGTTTCTACAACTCTTTGGGCAAATAGTAGAATGTCCTATTGAGTTGGACCAAAAACCAGAAAAACTCACATGGCGTCAAACCACAAACGAATTACACTAAAAAAAGACGTTTTGGAGGTATTGAAAAAAGAGTACAAAATTGGAAAAGGTGTTGCCATGGAATAACCCAGCACCTTAAGAAAGTGATCGATGTGGAAAAAGTTCCACTCACAAATTACAGAAAATTCAAGAACTTTTGTGATCGCTATTGTCGCGAGATTCAAAAGTTTGAATACTAAATTAGCGCCGATACTTATGTGTCACACCTCGCTTTCCGACCTTGCCCCGACCAACCCTCGAGGTCAAATGGGCTAAAGGGAGTTAAGTATAACGTATACTAGTATTTTTTCTCTCTGCAAACGTTTTTCTACCTTACGGTAGACGATAGAAGCCTTACAAGTTTTTTCTTCTCTATAGAGCCACACTTCTGGTTGTGAGTTTCTTAAAGTTCCATGTGTACATCCTGAGTGTGGCACACTCGTGAAGAAAGCTGATCTTAAACAACATTTAGAAACCTATTGCATATACCGGCCTCAAACATGTGAATTCTGTTCGAGGGAAATTGCTTTGACTAATTTACAGGTATCCAACATTTTATTCTGCTTATTTATTATTTATAATAATTATGATTATAAACTAGTATTGGTTATTTTGGTCGACAAAAAAAAAAAAAACCGGCCGGGCCACGGTTTGCCGGGTAAATCGTGCGCAAAATTCAGGACTGGTAAATTTCGTCCCGAAATCGCCTTTACCATTTGTACAATAAGTGCCATTTATCGAAAAAAACGACCGCGAAGGCCTGAAACTGGTTTTAAAGATTGCTTTGAAGAAAGGGAACACGAATTTCCGATTGGAATATTCCTTCCCGATAAAACAGGGCTACCTTTTCAGATGTTCCTTTGCTCCCAGAAATTTTCTGCTACAACGACCCAAAAAGTCGTGTTTCCTTTTTTTCCAACCGGGTTTTCCTTTTTTTTTTTGTAACAGTGGTAAACAATCACCATTTTCACATAGAACATAATGCTTAACCCCCTTCCCCCCCCCCCCCCCCCCCCCAAAAAATGGCATAACTATTGTCTTCGATTTCTCTTGGGCCGAGAACTGAACATGAAAATAATGATAATTTTATTCACCATTTTCACATAGACCATAAAATTAATGCATAATTATACTTAATTATACCCAGGGGAAATTGTAATCAATGGTTATGCAAAATTTTGGGGGTATTGAAGGTGCCTTATGGTCTATGTGAAAATGGTGAATAGAATGATCATTATTTTCATGTTAATTAAATTCAATGAGAGAAATAATTCCAGCTGTTCTTTAAAACACTTCTACTTCCAGAACATTGTCTTATGAAAATGATCTCGAATGATCATCGTTTTTCATCTCAGCCCTTAATATAATGTCAATACATTCTCAAACACGTACAAGCTTCGACCAAGTGTAGCAGCTAAGGAGTTACGAGTTGTACCTTAATTTTCTTTCCAATTTTAGCTTCATCAGGAGAGGGAGTGTCCTTTATATCCAGTTATTTGTAACAAATGCAGTAAAGATGGTATCCCCAGACAAAAGGTGAGAGGAAATTTTCTTAACAGGTTGGTAAAGAGAGGGATTTAGGGCTGTGGAATAATCTTATGGGTTCTCCCTCACACCCTCTGCAGGATCTTCTTCCCCCTCACAAGCGGAGCGGGGCGCTACGCGGTAAATTACGTCCTTACCAGGTCCAACGCGTGAATACTGAAAGGTTTAAGAACTTATGCTTTGGAATTAGATGTCCATTTGATTTTAAATAGATTATCTTCAAGTCCACTTACGCTTTTATCAGTAATCACGCTATTATTTAACAATTAATAGTTGACAGATCATCAGGACCCTGTTTTGGGAGATTGTGACGGAGTAGAAGGTCCATGCCCCTTTGCACAGATTGGGTGCACGAAAACCGAGGTAAGATACATCGTATTTCACGCTTTTGTTCCAGTGGCTTTTACCGCACTGAATTAGACGTGAGGTACTTCACCATTAACGATACATTTTTAATTTGCTTTAAAACCGTACTTATAGTCTCCAAAAGCAGTTGCATGTAAATGTATACCTGTTGCAATTCAATTTTGCTTTCTCTCCTCCTCGCAAATTGACGAGACCCTGGTTTTGAGGAAAAAAATAACAAAAACAAAACAAAACAAAACCAACATCGTCGAATTTTAAAAGTGGCTACTAATATTTTAGTTTCCCGGAGTTAAGAAGTCGATCGATGACGGTGTTTCTTTTCCCGCATATTAGTGAAAAGAACTGTCTATAGTTATCTGCTATAAGTACTAGATGATAAGTCTGCTATATTAAGCTATTGCATCCATTTTATGGTGCTGTTATACGTTTATGTTGGTAATGTTAAATATGCTAATAGTTTGCACTTGACCATTTTTGATACTGTATCAGTGGAACAGTGGAGGACAATAATTGAGTTTTATAAATAAATCAACTGACATAGGAGTTTTTGGTAGCCTGAGAAACCAGCCGACATTTGCTGACGCTACCACTGGTTTCCCCGCCAAATGACGTCTGAGAAACGAGCGCAGAAAAAGCCAAGTTTCGAGTTCGCTATGACAGCTGAATTAAAGAAGTGAAGACGCATTTTTGACAGGCTTAGCCTCCATCTGAAGTTAATATATTCACAAATTCCAACGAGAAAAAGAGCTGTTAATAGTACACTGTCTATTGTGTATATTCAAATTTCAAACCCTTACTTGCCGTAATTTCTGTATATTTAATTTACTTTACGTCGAGGCTAACCCTGTATGAATGTGTTGTTAATAATGTTTGTATTCAGCGGTAATTTTGAATTCGAAACTGAGCTATTACATACTGATGACGCGTCACTACTCAGATCTGAGTAGTGCTTCTGATTGGTTGAATCAAATTTCCCACGCGGCACGACCAATCAGAAGCACTACCCAGATCTGGGTAGTGACGCGTCATCAGTATGGAATTTTTGCGCTCGTTCCTCAGACGCCATTTGGCGGGGAAACTAGTGGTAGCGTCGCCAAATGTCGGCTGTTTTCTCAGGTTAAGTCAGTTTGTTAGCTTGCGGATACAGCTTTCCTTGCTTCTCACCGTTAGGTACGTTTTCTCTCCTGCGAGACGTCCTTAGCGGCGAGTAGCGTTGGTAGACGGCTGTCTTCACAGGCTAGGAGGTTTGCCCTCGTAAGGAATCCATAAGCTGATCATGACGTTTCGAGCGCTGTCCCTTAATCAATTTGAATTATTTCATGTCCTGTCGTTTGCTAGTAATATATAGATTTAGCCAGGGCTAAAAGCGAGGCTCTGGTTAATAACAATTATAAACAAAAAAATAATAATAATAAATCGTGTAAAGCTCAACGGGGACGGCAATGAAAATGGCATCAAGATCAACAGATCTAATTAGCAAAAAAACAAATTTGCACTTAATTGCAGCATGCTTTTTTGTCTTTCTTTGGTGTTGTTTTGCACGACTACAATGCCGTTTTGTACGCCTAAAACGTCAAACTTCCTAGTTACACATTGTTTCCTGTGTCCATGTTCGCTTTTATTTTTTCCCTGCCGCTCATTTTTACCTGGCCGCTAGCATTTCTCATCTTCTCACCGCCGCTGTGAAATTTTCTTTTTTTTCTTCAAACGAAATTCGTCTTCTTTGTTTTCAGTCACTGGCTTGAACTCTTTCTGTGTTATCCACGTGAGTGTAAACATCAAAAATAACGTCGGAAAAGACACGACTTTGTTTTTTTTTTCTCTCTAAAAGTCCGGGCGGCCATACGATTTTCTTCCGTTGCATTTGGGTTGCCATACCTGTTGATTGAGTTACCTTATATTGGTGTCTGTGGTGCGGACGGTCGGGCGGACGCACGGTCTCGTGACTACCAAATTTCTCGGATGCATAAGTTACCAAATTTTGTTACCCATGGTGCTCCGCTAGAGCTCCGCTTATAAATTTAGTGCATGTAAAGGTTTTAAATTAGTAAGTTCGATTTCGATTATTTGAAAGGTCCTCAACCAAAGGCAAAAGAAAGAGCATCTACAACAAGAACATGCACACCACACCATTTTGCTCTTACGCACTGCACTTGGATTGGGCAAGGACATAGAGGCCATTTTTAGGCGTGATCCAAGAATATCGTCAAGAAATTCTCAGTTTCTCTCAAACTACGATGATTTAATTCAGGACATCCTCAATCAGATTCAGTATAACAAAGAGGAAACCAGGAATTTGCATGGAAGGATTCAAGAACACAGCCAACGAATAACCGCTTTAGAGAGGAAGATGGCCTCTGCGAATATATCGAGTGGAGCATCATCTTGCCAACTCCTTACTAATTCTGAAGGTAGCTTTACCCATAGCGAAATAACCAGAAGACTAACTGATGTTGAACACAAAACCGCAGACCACGAAGTGCTCTTGGTGGAAAGTAATCGCACTGTAATGGTGACCAGCAGGGAAGTAAACAATGTTAAAAGACAGTTGGAGGGTGTCCAAGAGACTGCAAGGAGGACAGAAAGACGGATTGAGTCTATTGAACACACTTTAGCTTTAAGAAATGTCACACTAGCTGATTTAGAAGAGTACGTTAGGCAACAAGAATTTTCCAGCTACGACGGCCAGCTACTTTGGAAAATAACTGAATTTGCAAGGAAGAGAAATGAAGCAGTCAGCGGTCAACAGGTGTCTTTGTATAGCCCACACTTCTTCACAAGCCGTTATGGCTACAAAATGTGCGCCCGTATCTATTTAAACGGAGACGGCATGGGCCGTGGAACGCATATTTCCGTGTTCTTTGTGGTCATGCGCGGTTTGTATGATGCAATTCTCCGCTGGCCATTCAGACAGAAGGTCACGTTCATGTTGTTGGATCAAGATAATATTGAACACGTGATCGATGCCTTCAGGCCTGACCCTAGCAGCTCATCTTTTCAAAGGCCGAGAAGAGAAACAAACATCGCCAGTGGGTGCCCCATGTTCTGCTCCCTAACTGAATTAAATAACCACGCCTATGTGAAAGATGACACTATGTTTCTCAAAATTATAGTAGATACCTCTGACTTATAGAACTTATAAACTTATAGAGCCAGGTTCCTTTTTGCGGGAGTTGGGCATTTATTTGGATAATATTGCAGGAACTAATTGTGAACTTTTGGTCTTTCCACCCCGGGGGGTTACTTGGGTTAATATTTATATTTTTGCTGGGTATATGCCGCTCGCCTCTCAGAATCCCTACCCCTTTATAGTATATTCTGTGGTCATATTATAGACCCCAACTTATTCAATTTCTGTTTATGCATCTACCTTATAAAGCCTTTTAACTAGGTCATCTTGAAATAAACTGACACTTTTGTTAAACTTAATGTGGTGTAAGTTTTTCTATTTTTAAATCCCTACATACCTGAATGTTATGACCCTCAAAATCTTGAAAATGCGTGACCCCTTTCCAGGAACTCTCATAAAAATGCAACGCCATAATATAGTCAATCCAGTCGTGAAAATGCGACCCCATCCAGAGGTACATAGCCATTAGTCTACAGGAAGTACCCCAACCCCCCGGGTTTTTTACGCAAGAAGTCTCGCTCTGTTGGTAGAACTGTAACTAATAGAATTAACTACGAATTAAATTTGAAATGTCGCATATCTGAATACACTGAGCTCATGAGGCCAACAAACAAACAAAAAACAGTTGTGTTATTGCTGAAGGGGACGCTATGAACACTGGGACGATATAGGGCTAGGTTACTCAGTAAAACATGAAAGAATAACCAGAGAATTTGCTGGGAGGAAGGAGGATGGGGGATTCTCTCCCCCTTCTTCCTCAATCCTTCCTCCTTTCATTCGCACTTTACCCTCCCCTCGTGAAAAAATAACACACAGACACCAGAAGCCGTCCAGATACAGATAAGAGAGCAGGTTTCCAGCCAAATTCGCCGTTTCTCCGGCGTGTGTGGGACAAATTCGCCCGTTTCTCCAGGGTGTGCGGGTTGTGTTACGGATAGGGCAGAGTACGGGTGCCATACGCGCGGAACACAGAATTGGTTTGTGGGATAGGGAAATTTCCCATCATCGGCCTATTTTTCGTCTCCTCTTGTACAAAGCCGGTGGATTGAATGCTTTCTTTAAGGTAAGTCTTTTTATCCTAAGTACCTGAAAAAACGCAATTTGATGAGGTAGAAGGCTTGGTTGACCGCTTGACCGGCCGCAAGAAACCTTATTTTAAGTTCATTAAGACTACTAGTCTTATGAACTTTTAAAAACGTCAAAAATCCTTGCCATAGATTTGCGCTGACATTTGAATAATATAAACGGTTTTTAAATCTGAATAGGCAATACAAATGAAGAGTATTTACATCAACCATTTGCTTGATAAATAGAAAAGAGAAACAAATTGGCCTGTGAACACTTGAGAGAGATCAAATAAACATAAGCTTATAATTATAACTATCACCAGTACGATTCCTTTCAACATTGGTCTTGACTACACAATCTATGGCTTTTACGTAATGTGAGCACTTCAAATATTTAGTTTTGATGCCGGTGTGGTGAGGTGTGACAGATATTGATGATTTGTAGCAATCAGTTCATTTTGAAAGAATATGACGGATCTATTATGCACCTATCAATGTCATGCGGGGGAGGGAGGCAGTGCATGGGGTGGGGATTTGATTGTCTTTGTTGGCCCTGGGGTAGGGCATTTGACTGATCTTATTGTCGCGAGGTGGGGGGGGGGATGTTTGGATCTTTCTTCGCCCAACGTGAAGATATTTGACTGCCGACTCAGACGAAAAAGACTGAGACTGAACATTATGTTTCCTGCTTCCACGCTTCACGCATGTGCCTCATGGTCTGGAAAAATCTGGAAATCATTGAGGCCAACGGGAACAAGCGAAAGCTGAGTGGATTTCACTGTTTGTCTTCAAATTTCGTTTGTTTTAGCGTGTTTTTGATCGATTGAATCTCTTAAGATACTGTGGTATCAAAGTAAACAGAATTGAAGAGAAACAAAGTCGATTCTTGCAAGTACAATTGATCAGTGTATGGCTCATTCGCTGCAATCACTTTATAAAGCTTGTAAAACTGACTTTCTTTGCACCCTTAATTAAAATACTAAGAATGGTATATTTAAACTTACAAAGTGTGGACTTTCTCCTGAAAGGTTTCTATATTCTATGCAGTGTAACACGGATTATAGTTAAAACGTATAATTGCAGCTGTAACAGGAACATGTATCTTTGGTGATGCAGCAATGTTTATAAATGAAGATTGCAGAGTTTTATTTGGAGATATTTTCATTGTGCCTTTCTTGGGTTCTGCCTTGGAATATTTGGTAGCAATGTGCAGCCCAGGGTGGGGAAATTTGGTAGCATTTGACTGGAATGATTTGCCTGTGGGCAGGGAATTTGACAGCAAATTTTTAAAACAGTCAAATCTCCACCCCATACCCTGCCTCCCCACCGCTGGCTTTACATTGATAAGTGCATTACATCAGCATGGAAATTTTGCACCCGTGATTTGCTCCCCCCCCCCCCCCAGTGATGACCAGGGTAATATGGGGGCTTTCACTTCATAATCACTCCATTTTTGTTCCCTGGTAGGCGGGAGATATGCTAGAAATCACGGTCCTCACCTCCCTGACCAGGGAATAAGCAAGGCAGTCACTCTGTGGTCAGGGTTTTCCTTTTTGTGGCGTGTACTAACTTTGCGTACATTTTTACTGCTTCTTTGCAACTAAGAACAGAGTAGCAAAGGGTTTTAATATGCATGACACATGATTAGGCCTAAATTTAGCACATGATACGTGAAATGTCCCCAAAATAGGAATGTGATCTGTGAATCCAGTTATGCATGTGAAGCGGGATTTATCTCTTAAGATGTGCAGGACTTGTGAATCATTTGTCGCATTTCATGAAAATCAATGATAAAGGAAAGTTAGATTGAACAGTGCCGTTGGTTTCATTCTTTGCATTATATTTTTGTCGTGGTTAATAATTTTGCCAAAAGACCAGACCTTAAAAACCTCATATGACCAGTGATCTTCGGGATCAATTCGTCCACTGCAGCAGTTCTCGTGTTCATTGCATTGGGGGTGTTGATGTGTTTCCAATTTACCACATTTGCGACTGCTTGTTAATGCTCTTTAAGATTTCCCTACCAACATTGAAATAAGAGGAGAAGCAGTATGAAGCCGCGATCAGCAAATAAAATGTGAATTGTGCTGAGATTCCTGACACATGAAAATTGGTTTAGAACCAACGTGATTTGTTAAATTTGTCAAAATTTGTATGTGAAATGGGACCATGACTCCCCCTTTTCTACCATCTAAGAAATGTGCTTTGAAAATTTAAAGTGTCTGTTGACGTGGCTTACATAAAACACGTCGTAAATAAGACACAAGCTGTACCATTTATTCGAGCATATAAGGAGTGTCTTAGCGGAGTTGTGTCTTATTTAAACAGCAAACACATTTTTTGCACTATTCATATGACAATTTCATGAGACGTGTCTTATTTTGCCCAACGTTGTATCATGGAAATAACAAGAAAGACACTCATAATGATTAAGTTATTCTATAAAAACTCCAAAAGACTGTAAAACATGATTTGAAAAATTATAAAATCACAGCAAAACTGCCAAAGTTTAATCAGCCACAGGAGAAGTGATAGGAGCAAGATTGACACACTTGGTTAAGTGCATTTACGTCAGCCTTCTGTGTGAGAAGTCCCATTAATTTTTCGATTCCCAGGTGTTGCTTCAAATCCATGTTTCAACTTCCTTTCTTTCTGTGTAGCTTTAAGTAGCTTTATATATGTTGTAGTTAATTTGTTATTTCAGTTTTTTTTTATCTTTCCATTGTTTTGTGGTATGATAATGTATGCTAATGAATTTGAAACAAAGGGAAAACAAAAATTAACTGAATAAAAATTTAACTCCAGCATGCATAAGCACACCGTTACTATCATGATCCACGTAGTTTAAACTTTTTTTGCTGGGATCCTTGCTGTTTTACTGGTCATATTTTTTTACTTGCTTGCATTGTTGTTGTTTTATATGGAATGACCTTTTGTTTTTGTTGGATAATAGCTGCTGTTTTTCTTTGTGTTTTCATGACTACGTATAGTTTTTTATTGACCAATGTACTGAGAAACTACAAAACTGTGAAATTGTACAAAAAACGTGTCTGAAATGTTATTGTGTTGCAGTGGATTAGAGCCAATCATGCAGGCCTGGGAATATAAAAACCACATGAGCAGCTATGCTAGCATATAATTAGTTTCTTGTGATGTTGTAGCTGGCTTGCATGTCCTGATCTTCACTGTTATTGGTCACAGCACTTTCAATGAACTTTGCTTTCCAAAAACATCTTTCAGGTGTTCAATGTTTCATTAGCTTGACCATAAGCAAGTCGATAATATTGTACCAAAAAAAAAAAAAAAAAAAAAAACAGCCCTTTACTATACAACCTGCTGGAAAGCGAATGCTGAGTTTTTTTCTTAAGGCTCTAAAGTCTGACTGCTACTCCCAAAACTAAAATTGATGTTCATCTTTTGACTTTTTTGTATTTCAGGCACTTAACAGCCACGTGATCAAGTGCAGTATTGAACTGTCATGATCATAGTCTCAATGATGTTAGAAGTCAAATGTGGCTCTCTTTTGAGAGCCACAAATATTTTGTTTTGTTTCAAAACCAGTGAGTGAAGATAAACAAGGCTATTTTCAAGATACATGTTAGAATATCCATCTTCAGAATAATGCCAGGATTTTCTGTGAAAATACTGACGGAAAAACTTCCTGGTTCAAAATTTCTTTGTGAATGGTGTGGATCCCTGTTGCGAGGGGCAAAAAAGGCAAGCTGTGGTCACTTCTTTTGTAGTTCATGTGTTGATAATCTACTTTGGTAAGTAGATATAAAATAATTTTTTTTCTTGATAGGGTGATTTTACTTATAGCCCATGAAATAGGTAGTAGAATACTATGCACTATTATGCACTAATTCCATTGTCTTTTTTTGTTTACCTCTTACTATTTTGCAATAATTGTCAGTATCTGACAGTTTCACAGGTCAAGTAAAATCACTCTAAGATGCTTTGATGCAGTGGAAAGCTGTTGCAAAAGCAATTTAATAAATAAATAAATTCTACGTGCCCTCAGCTGTCTAAACTTGACGGTCACTTTTCTGATCTGCGGCACATTTACGGTGACAGTTTTCACACTTTGGTGTGGTGTTCTGGAGTGGAAATGAAAATTTATGAGTGATCGTTGCAAGCTCTCCTTTCTCTCCCCTGCTCGCTGCTTTCGCGTCTCCTCTCACATGCCTCTCGCGTGTCTACTTTTCTTGATATCCCCCAAATGGAGAGCTTGCTCTCAGGCTACTCTGCTTATGTCTCTGACTCAGACCCCGTTGCCAGTGAAAACCATGTTGAGAGTGGAACGTCAAGTATAAGATCTTAAAAATTGACTTGTGGGGTGCAACAGGGATCAGTTCTGGGTCCTATTCTCAATTTGCTATACACGACACCTACGACTGATATCATCAAGGCCCACAAAGTAGAGCATCATTTTTATGCTGATGATATACTCAGCTCTATGTTACCTTCCAAGTGTGATTTCCTGGAGGATGTTTACTTGGCAAGGACTAGGGTCGAATTCTATACTCACTTAAGCAGTCGCTTTGGTAATGTTGAAACTTTTGTCTGATCAGCGATTAATGTTACTTTCTGTTAATATGCCCACATTAGCAAGTATCTTTTAACATAAAAGTGTTCTACCTCTCCCCCTTTGGCCCTAACAAGATGGGTTATTTCATTCATATCACCCCACAATCACTAAATAAATATTGCAAACCCTGGGGATGTAAGAGACTGTCCTTTTTTGTAGTAACACTAACATCAACCAGCCCCCCCTTCCCTTAAAGGCAAATCAACATAGTCTCCAAGTTATAACATGGTTGTAGCTCAGGACATTATATTGAGTCTTACATGAGGAACACACCACACCAAAATTTGCTTTTTTGACAAAAAGCTCTTGTCAGTGATTTTGGGGGTAATGGATTCAATTTCAATATAAAGAAAGAGAGCTCAAAATTCAATTTGGTGACCCATATGAGAGCCTGGAGATTTGTGCCGTATCTGGAAGTCTCCCAGATAATTCAGGAAAGATACCCTTACAACGAAGAACAACACTTAGTTACTGTACCTGTATGGTGGCCAGTTGTGAAAAGGTTTGACTGTGTGTATACAAGATACATTTATTTTTTATGTACGCTGACACCGTTGATTTATGTTCATATTTATTCCAGTGAAAATCCAGGAAGAGTGTCATATTGTCCAAGAAGCAACAGGCCACTATTTCACGATGTCACAGAGGTACAGTAATTTATAATCATATTGATTCTCCCAACTCAATTGGGGCAAGGATGTGGGAAAGGAGTTTTAGAATTTGCACAGCAAGATAATTTATTATGGAGAAAAATACCTTGAGTAGACAGGGTACGGGGATTAAGCAGAAATTATTTTGAGCAATAGTTTTCTCTCCCTTTTGACTTCTGTCTCTGTGAAGAAGGAAATCAGTTCATTTGCTGCCGATACATTTTTCAGTTTTGTGCAGAAATATGTAAAGATGCATGCAGCAAGGCTCAAAATTAAAAAAAAAAGAAAAGAAAAGAAAGAAAAAAACTTAGGCTGCATTTTTGAAAACAAACTTGTCAACAAAGAATAAATTAAGGTCACCAGAATTTAAGGTACAGCCACTGAAATGACAGAAATGTACATAACTTGTACTTGTGTCCCTTATGAAAAGTTAAAATAAAAATAATATAGGAGGCCTGTGCAATGCAATCCTATCACAGGCTTGATGAACAAGCATTATGTAATTAGAGAGAGGCAAACAAAGCTGTGTCCAGATCAGGACTTCTGATATTTTGCGCGGTCGCGGAGCTGCAAAATTCAGGTAAATCTGCAAAATCCCTCGAAATTCACAAAAACACGCAAAATACTGTGAAACTCGGTAAAAATCTCATCAAATGCATGTCTGTACAACATATTTGAAACTTATTTCAGCTATTGGGATTTAGTTACTTGCTGTAAACTTGCAAATTTATCCTGAAACTTCGTCCCTGAAACGTGCAAACAATGTCCTGAAACTACCTGGCATCGATTATGTTGCAAAAAACTGGGCACTAGCCATGATGTTAAAGGCTTTGCTATTGGTTCATTTCTTGAGCGTGTTGTTGTTGAAAGAGCAAATGATAACCTCTGTTAGAAAAACTTTAAAAACACTGGTCTGATCAGCACAAAACCGATTGATTTCCAGCGAAATTTGCCTTGAAAATAACCACAAAATCGGCCATTTTTTACTGATTGCTTTTTGGCAAAGTTTGCCCTGAAATTTCCTGCGAAATCAGCCGATTTTTCTGCGAATTTGTCCCCAAATGGCTTTTTTCTCTGCGACCTATCAGAAGCCCTACCAGATGCGAAATTGGTCCAGTCAGATCAAGATGGCAGATTATAGATTGGGATTTTCCTGAAAATTCAAAGGAATAGAACAAACTTAAAGTAGGCAGCAAGAGATTCATAGATTGAAAGGCACTCCTGTGGGGACTGGTTGATGGAAAATAAGGGAGGATCACCCTACAAGTTTCTATTATTAGAGGAGTCTCATGGACTAATTAACCAAGAAACATTTCTGAGGGACCACGAAAAGCGTATTTCAGTTCTTTGAGTGACCAGTGAGAAGTTTAATAGCTATGAGGATATAGTGTCGACTTTTATTTGCAAGCCCATTTTTGCTTTTTCCTCTATTGTATGTTTCATCAAACAAAGTATGCAAACCAGGGAAAGTATAGCCATGAAGATGGCCTCTTAATTTACTCATTTTTTCTTTGCCTTGTATCATAATTTATGTTTCATTAAAAGGTTAGGTTAGGTTAGGGTTAGCAAGGAAATTACTACAGATGTATTATCCTTTTTAACACAAAATCACTTTCTTTGAGTAGCCAGCACAATATGTATAAGCACTCAGGGCTGTCAAAAAGTTTTTAGGTACCAGGCTAGTAATGAATAGTAGGCACCTTTGGAACTCAGACCAAAGGCACAAGTTCTTGAGGGCCGCGGCATCTCGGGACATTTTGAAATTTAGACTCTTGGATATGGCATTTTCAGTGGTTTTCAAGATGTATTTTCCACCGTGGACGCAATGTTTTCGTCAGAATACCCGCAAGAATGGGAACAATGCCGTCGAAATGCCCCAGGCGTTCCTCGACATCGCACGGTTCACACGTTTCCCAGAGCTAAACCTTTTAAATATGCATTCAATTTCATTCAATGGTGCTTATTTTTGTTAGCAGTTGTAGTAGAAGGAGATGAAAGTAGCAGGCTAAAGATGCCTAACTAGCCGGCGGTTTTGGCCGGCTACCAGCCCTTATTGACAGCCCTAACGACTAGGTAGAGATTTTTGCTACTCAATTGCTGGAACATCCAGCAATGCTGTGCTCACATTTTGTACAGTGACTTGGGAAGTTGTGGTGCAAAATCTTATTTCTGCATAATAAATGGGCTATTTTCATTTGATTATGATTAATTTTGGTACTACCAAATTTGTGCCCAGCAGTACGTTGCATAGATGTTGTTCTTCTAAGGTTAAGGGTCTGTGGGACTGAGCCTTTAACCCTTTAGCCCCAGTATCCACATACAAATTCTCCAAACTGATCTCCATACATTTCCTTTAAGAATTAGTTGAGAGAATAAAATATTAATAAAACATCAAGGCATTTTCTCTTTCATGATCATTTTTTATATTCTCACAACCTTATCTCTTGACAATGTATTGACACTATTGGCACTTAAAGCAGGACTTAAAGGGTTAAAAAGGGTTTCTTGTCACGTAGGTTTTTTACAAGTCTATGTAAAGTGCTGTTCTATTCTGTACTTATTACTATTGATTAATGCTGTGAAAGACAAGTGTTCTCACACAATAATGTTTGCACGCATACCAAAATGTGGATAATATGCATGACCTTATAAAGATATTTCTTTTCAGTTTTGGCCTGCAGATGCAGCCTTTTGTGATGAATTGCATGATTTGGGGGTTCATTGTAAAGAATGTTCTTGGAGTGGAAAACTGCAGAATTTTGAGGTGTGTTTAATGAATCAGTTGTATAATCTAAAATTTTCAAAAAAATGTGTTAAGTCTTATTGGGGCTTATAATAAAATTTTAAAGCTTTTCTTTTTGGCTTACAGTGTACATGGGGGCTCATATATCAGGAGGGCCATAGCTTATCATAATATTATTTATATTTATTTATGTGGCGAAATAAGTTAATGTTTACTTAATAATAGCCTATTACATGTAGTAGTAAGAAGAGAAGTAATTATTAAAGAATATTACAAATACGTTCAAACTATATTTATTGTATGTTCATGCAGTCGACTCCCTTTATAGAGGACACTTTAGGGCCTCATTAGCAAGAGTCCATAACAGTGGGAGTTTAGTTCAGTCAAATGTCTGTAATTCAGTTTTTCCTCAGATTTAGCTGCTGTCCATATTATTGGGGTGTCCGTTATAATGGGGTGTCGGCAAGGAAAGAGTTGACTCAGTGATTCTAATTATAAAGAGCCTCCTTCACACTCCCCTGGCCCCAGCTTCAAGCACACTCAGTTTTCTGGGTAAAGTGCTTTCAATAATTATTATCTTGGTTACAGTTTATTACACGTTAAAACCCTTTGCTCCCTTTGCTCTCTTTATGGTAGTTTCCCTCAGCCGTTTTTAGTGTCGTCACACAACGCTCCTCCCCACAATGTGTCTCCCTACAAATGGCTGTTCGCATTCAAGCAACTTTCCTTTCCCTTTGTAGTCTTAGGAGGAGGAGTGTTGCGTGACGACACTAAAAATAGCTGTGAGGGAGACTACCTTCAAAGGTTTGCTTTTCAATTCTCCATTTTCACATGGGTCAAATGGACCTTGTTTCTTCCCCCCAAAAAATTTTGCATAACCATTGTCTTTACTGTAATACCCAGGAGAAATTGGAATAATAATAATAATAATAATAAATAACAATTTAATAACTTGTAGAGCGCTATTTACATTCACTGATCAACAGCACTTAACAACTTCAACTAAAATTCAAATTTATAAAACTAATAATAGTTATGGTTATGCAATTTTTCTTTGAGGGGGGTGGGGGGGGAGGCGGTAAACAAGATGCATTGTAGTTTATGCAAAAATGGTGAAATTAGGTAAAGAAAATGCATTTGCCAAGCAGGTTTTCAGTCAGTGAAGTACATGTATCTACCATCTCTTATAATTAGGGAACATACAATGTACTTTGCATACTACTTCTCAAACTCATTAATAATTCATTAAGAAAATACAAAGGAAATTAATGTTTAATGAGTGTTTGGAAATCGGATGAAACACTGCTTAGTATTTGCATCCTTAATTTCTCCTTCAAAAATGATTTTGTTTGAGAAGAAATATCTAACATTCGACACAGTGTTTCATCACCAGATGAAACACCTCGAAGTTCGTCAAAAATACTCTGCTGCGCGTCGTATTTTCAGCTCTCTTCTTGGTGTTTCATCTGGTGATGAAACACTGCATCTCATGTTTGATATATTACTTCAAATTCTTAATTCAGTGGATTTCCACTTTGTTTTGGCAGAAATCACATATGCCTAAAACACCTTTCCTGGCAGTTATGCCGGATTATGTATAAACTTTCAGCGCTTTTTAAATTACCTTTGAATGTTCTTATTCTTAAGGATCATCCATTCTTGAATGGAGGGCTTTAATATATTATTCTTTTCTTTCGTTCCTGAATGACTGTTAAATTTTGTCATTGTAATTTTCTTGAGCTTAATTCAAATTGCTCATGAATGGCTTTAATTTATTGCCATCAGCACCATTCAGGCACTTGTGATTTTAACAGCTACCCAAAACAACAGGAACAGTTTGTTAGAGAGGAAAATCCCTGTAGTCAAAAGGAGGTTTACAGCAATGAAGTGGATGGTTATTGTGAGTTGTTGAAACTTGGAGCAGCTAGCTGTGTGGTGAGTATTTTTCATAAATATATTTCAGGGGTTAGAATGAGTTTGCCTTATTCAGTTATACCCTGTTGTATAATTATTGTCCATTTTATAAACTATTTTCGTAAAAGTGACACAGTAGTCTTCTTTTCACTTTAATATTCTCCTTCCTTCCTCTTACGCTATCCTTGCCACATTTTTTCTCCTTTGCTGGGCCTTTATAAGGCTTCGTTTCTTTGGGAAAGCTTTTAGCATCTTAGGATAAGTAGATGAAAAGGAAGGAAGGTAGGTAGGTAGGTAGTCCAACGAGAATTTCATGCGTATTGCACTGCAGTATTGGTGTTTTCTGCATGTTACAGCACGTAGTAATACTAATTAACATAAATCAACCATATAGAAATTTGTGACTTCTCAGCAACTACTAAAAGAAGATCAGCTTGCCATGTTGGTACCATATTTTAGGATTTTGTGTCACATTACACCATTTCTCCAAAGAACATTCTAAGTGTGACTTATGAAATTCTTACTCTATACAGACAGGACAACAGCACCGTGTGGGGACTAATGACGTCAACAGCAACTGTACAGAAGAGAAAAAACAAGGCAATGAGCGTAGTCAAACAGAGGGCAAGAACAATCAGCTGGATGATGAGTTGTTGAAACCTGCAGTGACTAGCAATGTGGTGAGTTGTTCTGATGCAGTGTTTTATTCTACTCTTGGCTTCTCCTGTTGTTATAAGCGTGATGGGCTGGAATTCCCCTGTATGATGAGTAATTTTCAGGTGGATCAATCTGGCTTTTTATAGTTTATTAGATAAACCAAACGCATATCGTGACTGGTCAGTGGCTATATTGTGAATAAAAAATTGTTTTCTTTATATATCCACGCAAAATTGTTCAACTTTCTTTCTGGAGCGGGAAATAAAGTAACAATTACAGTGTTTTTATTTAGGAAAAAATGGAAGTCTAAGGAAACTAGGCCTTTAATAGTGGGTCGTTGTATACAGGTTCCCCCGTACTGCATCAAACTGTTTGATGAGGACTATCGGAAGACTCTAAGGCTGTTAAGAATCGGAAGAAGCAAGGAGGGGGTAGCTGTGAGGAGGCGCGTACACTGTATTTGAGCCCCATTTCATGGAATCTCTCTTATTTTCACGTACTTTGGATGGTGTCGTAGTGCTGCACAAAACAAAGAGCAGTACAAGGCTCATATTTGACGGTTCATGCAGTTTTAGTCGGTATAGGATAAAATATTTGCATCAGATCTGTATGGGGATTTGCATCATTATTTTCCACTGTTAATGCCCATACTGTGCTATGGCTGATCTTTTGTTCATTATTTGTTTTTTCCTAACCTGTGCAGGTCACTGAAAAAAGCAAACCGTTACATTCATTCTGACCTCCATGATTAAGGTTCCTGTGTTTTCTGCGTGACACTGTTTTTGATGTGTTACTGAGTTTAAAGTGGACCAATAAGTCTGTATTTGGTCCGTGGGACATTCCGCTTCCGGGTTGTTTCTAGAGTCACCATAGTCTTGAACTTTGAGCTGACCTAACGTCCACGGATAAATAAGAGAAAAGCATAAGCTTCAAAAGGTATTGGTAGTTACGAAATGTCTTATTGTTTTTGAATGAAGGCATTTTATATCTACTAGATAATCTACCATGAAATGTACCAGTGCTTAACAACTAGAAATTGTTAAGTTTGGTTTTTACAGACCTCGATCGTTTATTGCTTTTGTGGGTGTTGCAGGACTAAAGCAGCCTGATTTGACCTTTTTAATTACAAACAGCTTGTAATCAGACAGCTACATGTATACAGCTATGTCATGAGCAAAGCCGTCCATAGGCAAAATTGTTGGGTTATGTATGGTTTCTGGCTGTTAGAATGTGTTTTGCACCTAGAAATTACCACCAACAATGTATTATTTGTCTGTTTCCATAAGAAATGACTAATGTTCCTTTCAGAGGGACAGCGACGATGACCCTAGGCGTCTTGAGGCATCTGGTGGGCAGCTGGGAAAATGTAAATACTGCGAAGTCCAAGTCAATCCCAGTGTGATGGAGGTATCTTAAGCCCGTGCAAAAGGACGCAACATTATTAGCCAACAACTCCCAACATTGTTGGTTGTTACATGTTGCGTCCGTTTGATGACTCTGTTGCATATTGTTGCATGTTGTTGGAAGTTGTTCATGCGCAAAGTTTGAAACCAGTCAAACATAATAAGCCAACAACTCCCAACGTTTGTTTTGTTTCGTTATCCCCGAAGCGTAGCGCAACAATGTTGGATCCGTTTGCACAGCTCTTTCAACATTATTGCGGCCACCCACGTGCATTACATGTGTTGTTCTCGTTGGAGTTTACACAATCCTATGGGTTGTATCCTTCTAATGATGCACTGCAGGTCTCACTATTTTTGACAGTTGTTTCCTCCGTTTGCAATCAATGCCAACACGCACACAACAACTCCTAACATTGTTGGCCTAGCAATATTGGGGGTTGTTGCGTCCGTTTTCTGCGTAGCTTAAGTCGGCTTGTTTTTCCAAATGGCCATCCGGCCCATTGAGGTGGGTTTTTGCTGTTCTATTGCTGTTCTCTTGTTCTTCTGCCATATTTTAAGGCTCTGGTTCTGCTATTTCTTCCTGGAAGAAAAAAAAAACGTGCGACTGAAATTTTCCTGCCATTTTCTCCAGCTCCAAAACAGCTACCAAAACAACCAAGCAAACACAACCTTGTGGCCAGGTCTTCTCGGTTGCCGTGCCTTTTTCTAGCGATATCCTGCACTATTGACGTCATTTTACCGCCCGGATATAACAGGCGTCTTCTAAATTTTGGTCAGCGCTGGTTAGTTCTGAAAAATTAGCTCCGGGATTTGAGCCATTTATAAGCGGAGAGTACTTTAAATGAATAATATACAACTTTCCCCCGAAGGGGTGGTGAATGGTGGTGAATAGTGGTGGTATACCGAGACGCAAAGGGTCGAGGTATATATCAAGCACTGTCCACCGACCCTGAGGGGGATAGTTGTTTTGGATAGTATTTACCAAATCAGTTGGATAAAAATCAAAAAGGAATTTTTTGTAAATAACGGACTTCACTTAGTTAGAGTTTGTTTACGTTGCAATTGATAGTGTTTCGGGGATTATTTTTTATTGATTTTGTTCCAAATTCAGTAAGAAAATTTTTTTATACCCACCAGTAAACGCTGAAAAGCCAAATTTTGTCTCCTTCTTTGTATTTGTTGGTGCAGCTGCTTCATTTACCGCTAAAATTTCATCTTTCGAAACTGTCGCGAAATGAGAAGCCATTTTGAATCCCGCCCCAAAACAGTGAGGATATTCCGAGTTACGGGGAGCCAACCAGAATGCGCGAAAATCGCTATCCGCTGATTTGGTGAATACTAATAAATAATATGTTTTAGTCTATGAATAATAAGAAGATGCTGTCTTACTCTTGCACGCGTAAAGTAAAGGAAGTAAAGGAACATAGAATTATCCCTGGCTGGATATTTCAAGGTCAGTTATCCCATACACCTAACTTGGTGTTAGTCCTAGTCGTTAGACATTTGGGACCGTGTGTGGCAAAGAACGAAAGGCGGGTCGCTCAACATGTTTCGTATTTCCTTTGCAGCTTCATTATAAAGAATGTGAGGCATTATTAGTTGTAATTGACAAATGTGGAAAGGACAACAATCACCAAGAAAAGGTACTGTGAGTACTGTAATCGCTTTTTCATGAAAAAGGTCTTTCCGCACTATTAGCAACAGTAGCCTTGGTCACTGGAGTTCGAGAGAAGGGGAAGGTAATTTGGGCGCGAGGCAGAATCCCCAGGTTTCCTCGTGCGCCCTTAGCGCCTCACACGCGCCCGAGATCTCCTTTCCCTTCCCTCGAACAACTGCCACGCAGGCTACTGCATTAAAACGTCTACTCTATTGTAAGTGATTTTTAAAATTGTAGCTTTTGAAGCAGTATTTCCCCGTATAAATTACGGTTTTAAACCCTTTTCTGACAGGGCCCTGAACAATTCAAGCATTAATTAGTAGTAAGCGAGTAAATGTAAATTTATTGTTGGTATTCATCTTTTGTAATGTAGCGATATGTCAATAAATTTGGTTTATTTTGCCCTTGCAGGTAAAAGAAATGAATTACAAGACTTCCCTTTTGCCTTTATCACGGAAGGTATTGCCAGCTTGCAATTTGGTAGGTGAAAGAGAGCAAATCACATCCATGGAGAAAGACGTATCTCTAGCAAATGCTGACAATCAGGGCGCATCGTCTTACCACTTCCCTGACGAACAAAACATTGTACGTAGGCTACGTTTCCTTGAGAACAAGGTTGCTCAACACGATTTCCTTTTCGAGGAAAATCGCCATTTGAAACAAGAGATCCAACGCATTTCCTCTGCTCTCTGTGATTTTAAACGAAAAATAGAGTGTATTGAAGAAATGTCTGCTGATTCACGTTGCTGGCGAAGTGACTGTTTTAAAGCCATTTGGGAGACGTTTGAGGCTTTAAAACTTAATCAATCTGCTTTGCAAGCCCAAATGGAAAACCCTGCCTCACGTGAACTTCATGTAAAGCTAACAAGAACCATGAGGAGCATTGCAGCTATGCAGGAACAAATTCGGAACTTAGAACAACATACCCTGTCACATGGGAATATGTTAGGTAATCTCTCTAATGCGGTTACCTCCTTAGCCAATGAGGTTCGGGAACTTCCTAGTGAACGAATATTTGACATAGAAGGTGTCTGACGACCGCCCTAAGAGAGTTGGGGTTTGGGCCTGGGGTGGGTTTTGTTGTTTTGTTTTCCCAATGGAGGTCCCAGGAAAATTTGACCCTTTGTCTTTTCATAAATCATGCGTACTTATGCTCAAGAATAAACGAAATTTGAAAGAAACAGTTCTCTAGTAAGAGTATTATCACATGACCTGCTTTGGGAAAACAAAGCATTCAAGCTAAAGAGGTTTGAGGGTGGTTGCTTATTCGAGGCTGGGTGCTTATTAACTTCGCCTACCGGGTGAGGGCTTGTTGGCGGTTTGTGAGGGCTTTATCGAATAATTACGGTAGTAGGTGAAAAATTGTGAATGGCCCTTTTTTGCAAGGGGTGGTTCGCCGAGATGCGAATATGAATGGAACCATGCCACCATGCCACTAACATTCCATTAACATTCAACGGTTACTCCGTACTGTGATAAAGTTCCATGTTGTTACAGAAGCTATCCAGAGTTCAAGTTCATTACCTTTCATTGCCAACCGGATATCGGTCTAATCTACAGTTTTTTGACAGCTAAATGTATTGATTTATCTTTATTAATCGACTACAGTACAAATTGCAAGGACGCAATCCAATACTACTATTGTCAATTCAGTCCGGTGTCCACTTAAAAGAGGTTTTTAACAATAGAAATTAGCGAAATACAACTTATTTTAGTGTCCGCGTCCGCTTAATAAGGGTGTCCGCTTAATAGGAGTTCGTTATAAAGGGAAATATAAGAAGTTGTTGTTGAAGGCACAAATGTAATGACTGATCACAAATGTAATAATGGTCACAAGCGTAGTAACATTTGGTCACAAGTGAGATAAACGTCTTAACAAAGTTAAAAAAAGGAAATCACATCTAGACACAAATTAATTTATTAACTTTTGTTCAAATTGTTTTGTTATCAGCCTTTTTTCCCGTTTCCTTTTTAATAAAGCAAAGGAAAACATTAAGCGGATTGGAAGGACTCTTGCGCTATTATTGCCGTATTCACACCTGATCGGCCTGTAAAAGCTCGTGAGGAACATAACCCTTGTACCACTGTGACGTCATCGCCTTGGGTGTACAGGGGAAAGACGGTAAACACTTGCTTCCATATCTCAAACCGCCCTTGGATACCTTGAGATGCCTACACAAATTAATTTCATAGATATGAGTGAGCCCTGACAATAGTGATCAGGGTTAAGCAATAACGATACTGATTCGGGTTAAGCACTGAAAATACTTATTAGGGTTAAGCACTGACAATACTGATTAGGGTTAAGCACTGACAATACTGATTAGGGTTAAGCACTGAAAATACTGATTAGGGTTAAGCACTGACAATACTGATTAGGGTTAAGCACTGAAAATACTGATTAGGGTTAAGCACTGACAATACTGATTAGGGTTAAGCACTGAAAATACTGATTAGGGTTAAGCACTGACAATACTGATTAGGGTTAAGCACTGAAAATACTGATTAGGGTTAAGCACTGACAATACTGATTAGGGTTAAGCACTGAAAATACTGATTAGGGTTAAGCACTGACAATACTGATTAGGGTTAAGCACTGAAAATACTGATTAGGGTTAAGCACTGACAATACTGATTAGGGTTAAGCACTGAAAATACTGATTAGGGTTAAGCACTGACCATACTGATTAGGGTTAAGCACTGAAAATACTGATTAGGGTTAAGCACTGACAATACTGATTAGGGTTAAGCACTGAAAATACTGATTAGGGTTAAGCACTGACAATACTGATTAGGGTTAAGCACTGACCATACTGATTAGGGTTAAGCACTGACCATACTGATTAGGGTTAATGGTTAGCTTCTATTTAGGGTTAGGGTTTTCGCTATGGTACTTAAATCAAACCAGTTTCCTGCAGCGAATCGTCGGTGGTCTAGTTGTTAGGACAGGAGGCTGCGGACCTGGGACTCTGGGATCGAATCCTGCTCGAATTTATGAAATTTCTTTTTTCCTTTAAAATTGAAGAGACTTGCACTTGGACAACATTTGTTGAGCAGAAACTAAGTCTCTGAGTCAAGAAAGTCAGAAATTTCATTTAAGTGTAAGTGAAAAGGGAGACGGCGGTCTGAGATATGGAAACAAGCGCTTACCGGGAAAGACATCTTTCAGCCATATCGAAATGGGCCCAATTTAGCCAAAAAGGCCAGGAAAAACCCATAATTCAGGTCACGTGCTAGGCAACGGGAGTAGTTGACGTGGGTCAAATTTCACCGGCGTCTGGGGAATGAATCATTTTTATAAAGACTGCACTCTATTTTCATCCTTAAAAATACGGTGTGCTTAACAAAGAGCTAGAAAGTATATTGTTTGTTACACAAACTTGCCTTTATTTTAACTCTTTGCTTGAAAAAAAAAAACAACAACAACAACAACAAAACTATAAATCAAAACATCAGCATGCTAATACTCTGGAGAAGAATTTAGCTCATGTGCCAGGCAATAGCGTAACTCAAAGTTTCACCGTTGTCCGTTTATAAAACTAACGGAATTTTAGGCAGTGAATGTAACATAACTAATCGTTTGTTTTTAGAGGTCAAAATGATGAAACTTACAAACGTTTAACCTATAACCTGCATTAAAGATGAGCTTGGAAGACGCATTTTAGTAGGGTACTTTTTAGGAATGTTTGAAATACAAATTGGGATGGATAAAAAAAGCAAAAACAAAAACAAAAGAATATAAAATGAAAAATTAAAAGAAAAATCCTGTTCTCCTATATAAAGCAGATGCCAAGTCTCTACCCATTGAGCATGTATCTAACAACATATCCATGGCGATTACAGCAAGGAGCCTAAAAGTGTGACCGCTTTTAATTTATTCACATTCTTTCCTGCAGACATTAACCAATCAGAAGTCGAGGACAGTTTCCAGCTGGCTTCTGATTGGATTAAATCTGCATGAAAGAATGTGAATAAATCAAAAGCGGTCACACTTTTGGGCTCCTTGCTTTAAAGTAGATTCGTATGATGTTAAATTTCTTATGGCCCCAATCCTTGGTCTGGCTGCCTGCTCGACCAAACGTCTATTCACTGAGCAATTCAGAATAAATTTTTGTCAACATTTTTCTGATTTAAGACTATAATTAAATTTGCTAATTTGTACACTTATACCTTGTGCGAGTGCACCATTATTTCAGTTTAGGTGACATGGGCCTTGTCCCAGAAACTTACAAGTTATAAGATATACGAAAACTTATCATGTTTTATCTTTATTTGGCTGCTTTTTAAAAAAAAAAATATTTAGATTCTATTACATTAAAGGAGGAAAGGGAGAGGGCAGATAGCAAAACAATTTGATTGACAGGTAATGTTAACTGACTGTCTGTCAGGATGTCGTATCGAGACTTCGTTGTGATTTACTGTTTTAACTTCGTTTAGATGTTTATTACACTTGTGACCAAATGTTATTTCACTTGTGACCTTCATTACATTTGTGCCTTCAACGTTAATTTCGGGACCCAGCTTAGTGTCCGCTTAATTGAGGGTCCGCTTAATAGAGGTTTCACTATAGCTAAATGTGCTTTCGTGTTGTATTGCGAGGTACCGCCAAACAGATTAATAATATCAGATAGGAGCACCATAAACACGAAATTCTGGTCTCTATCTTTTCGATAATACAGGGTGGCTGCTTAAAAAAGGTTCGACAGTATTTCGATTGCAACATCTGAAAGATTATTTTTTCAAGTAAATCGTTGCTATTTTGCAAGAGCTCCGGTTTTTGCTCTTGGCAGAATTCATATAGTGAGCTAAAAGATGCTAATTTCTTTCTTTGTGTATTGTTCTTTTTTTGCGGAAAAGGGCGGGCTTAAAGAATGGAAGTAGACTTCAGCTCAAAATAACCAATGATATGCAATTATATTTTGTGGGCTTCTTTTGCTTTCATTACGTTTGGTATATCATTTGCAATAAGTTGAAGAAAAAAAACAAGACAAACAAAAACAAAAAACGAAGAACAGTTCTTAGTTTAGCGCGCCTTAGATGAAGTGAAATTCTTGTGAGACTTTTTAAACGCTGACTACTTACTACGGATGGTATAGGCATCGACTTTCTCATCCCACTAACGCAAAGTCGCGACAGTACTTAGTACAGCTGTATCAAGAGTGTGTAAAAAAGCAGTTTAAGCCCATAACAGATCGAAAACCGTTCATCCATTCTTGGTCTGTAGTCCGTAGACCACAGTCTGCGTATCTTAAATGAATTCGATCCTGGACAAACAATATATTCAACACCATGCATTTTCGGCCTACACCTGTAATAAGATACTGCAACCTTTTCTGAAGAATTTCTCGTATTAAATTTCCAAATTGGACAGGCTGTAGTCCTATTTCGTAGCCTTTTATAACAGTATTATGAAGCCTGTGCGGCTCCCAAGCTTTCTAAAACAGGAACTTTACAACTACATTAAATAAGTTATTAAATATATTTAGAAATAAATTAAATATCTGGAAGTAAATTAAATAAATGTAGATAACTAAATACATGCATACATGAGTACATAGGGTAAGTTATTAGTACTCGGAGATGTCAACGCTTTATAGTCGACTCTCAATACCTTGAAGTAAGTACTTGAAACGGTATGCGACTCTTTTGAACTGGTCCGCCGTTCTTTTTGACTCACTCCGGGGTAGTAGTTTCGAGTAGAGATGTTACGTAACTGGCAATGGGAAGCAGGGAACGAACACGGGGCAAGGGAAAATGAAAAATGGGAAAACCGCGAACTTGCATTCTAGCCCTATACCAGGAACTTTCTGATGTGTCTGATGATCCTAGCAGCTCTTCTTTTCAGAGCCCAACAAGAAGAAAACACACAAACAACAAACAACAACACAAACTCATGACTCACTTATTCCAAGCCTACCCATCCACCACCGGGCACTTGTCGTTTTTTTTTAATCTTCGAAAGCTTTAAATGCTCCAAGTTTGGGCCAGGAGATTAGTGGAAAAACCGTAACGTTTATGTTTCCTGGAAAGAGGCA